TTTCTAGTGGTTCTCGCACTGATGGCATTTACACTGACTTTAGCAAGGCGTTTGATATGGTTAATCATAGACTTCTTAGATTTAAAATCCAGACCTCTGGCTTTCCTCTCTTCTTAGTTGAATGGTTAAGCTCTTATCTGTATGGTAGATCATTCAGGGTTTTGTTTAACCTCATTACCTCGGATGAATTTCCCGTGACGTCTGGCGTACCTCAAGGTAGCCACTTGGGACCTATTTTATTTAATCTTTACATCAATGATTTGCCCTCCGTGATTAAATTCAGTAAGATTTTAATGTATGCTGATGATGTGAAACTGTTTACTTCTTTTTCCGTAGAATCGCAATCACATCATCTTCAAAGTGATTTGAACAATTTTTTGCATGGTGCTCCCTCAATCTTCTGAAGCTAAATCTAAATAAATGTAAGAAGCTTTCTTTCTTAAGAAGGAATTCGTTTAGTACCCAATACTTCATTGATTCGCACAGGTTGGAAGACGTCGATTCGTTCATTGATTTAGGCGTTCTATTCGATTATAGGTTACGTTTCAATTTGCATATTGAGTCCTCGTTAAGCAAAGCTAGGTCCGCTCTTGGTTTTATAAAGAGGTGGTCCAAAGAGCTTGATGATCCTTATATTACTAAAAGGCTTTACACGTGTTTGGTTAGACCTATTCTTGAGTATGCCTCTGTTGTGTGGTCTCCTTCATATAGATGCTACGTTGGTTCAATTGAATCTATACAAAAGCAATTCTTGCTGTTTGCACTTAGGAATTTGGGTTGGGACCCGATTTCCCCTCTTCCACCCTATGAAAATAGGTTGCTTCTGTTATCCTTACCGTCACTCGAGAAACGTAGATTTGTTCTTGGGGTTTCCTTCCTAATCAAATTAATAAATGGTTCAATTGATTCGCCGCATTACTTCGTGAGATTTGCTTTAATGTCCCTAACCGCTTCTCTAGGTACTTTATGTTGATAAAGCTTAGTCAATGCAAATATAACTTTGAACTGTTTAACCCGCTCAGAGTTGTTTGCAAGAACCTAAATGATGTCTATCATCTATTCTCATTAACGGACTCTTTAAAGTCTATTAAAGCAATATTGCTCAACAAGCGCGATTTACCTATGTCGTACTTAAACTGATTTAACCTTAGATTTTGTCATTATGAGTCGAAAATTAATTTGTTGTTAACAATTATCGGTTGCCAAGCTTATGCATGTTTGCGATGGCTTAGGGGTTCACTTGCAATTTGGTCCTGTATCGGTTGTGGGCGTGGCTCTATGCTAATTGTGTACATGCTTTTTTTTTTTTTTCTTTCTTTTTTTTTTCCTCCTTATTTGTTTTATTGTACTTATACTAAGTTTTATTATTAAATAATTTTAAGATTTACTTAAGAGTCAATTGAACTCGACTGCCATTTTGTTTTAGTTGAGTTTCTTGTATAAGTGGAATAAATAAATAAATAAATAAATAAATAAATAAATAATGGCTTCACGATCGCGTTGGGTCAGACGAGGATTGGCTAGATA